CTCTCTCCCTTCTCGCCCTCTCTCCCTTCTCGCCCTCTCTCCCTTCTCGCCCTCTCTCCCTTCTCGCACCCACACACCCTTTCCCCCTTCGGGAAAGGGGCAAAAGAACAATAGGGTACGCAGTCAGAGAAATTAACTGACTGAAGACCTCATGCTGCCAGTTGGAATTGCATGGCAACAGCCAAGTAAAGAAACAAAAGTTTTCCTAGAGAGGTTATAAATGAAAATATCAGAAGCTGGTGTCAATTCAGTGGAGTGCTGTCTTCTTGAACTGTATATTTACACATTGATCCTGCAGCGTTGAGGGGTGTGCGGTATCCTGTTTCCTAACATAATTTGGGACAATATGTTCTTTGTTGTCCTGCTCAATTTTCGAGTCAAGGTCAGTTGGGACACTCAGGTCGACATCAATCTTAGAGCATATGAGTCTTACCTGCATTAGTTCTATAAGTTCTTCTTTGTTTTTATTAAATTAGCTTGCCCATGACACCACAAATTTCTTATATGTCCCCAAGTCTTGGACATATTCATGCTTGAAAGTTGTAGAGGAAAGCTTATGTGCTTTTTTCAATTGACTATTTTAAGTTTGTAATAACCCTGAAGATTTGCTTTGTGTTCCAAGGATCTAAAAAGGGCGATGATGAATAGAACTTAACCTTGGGAACCCATGAGTTCAGGAAGTTGTGTGCTACCCAGTAATCCTAATACTTGTTGGTTTTAACAAAGATGTACTGGCGTGTCTTTGGTTTCCAGTTTATTATTTACATTCTTTCCTTAAAAGGTAGACAATTTGTTCTTTTATTTCCGGTCAATAATCTCTCCCTGCCTCAGTCCCGGCCTTCAAAAACTTGGAAAGTATTTTCTTTGTTCAATAGTGACCCTGCAACACCCAGAGGATGAGTTCATGCATAATTTCCAAACTGGGATCTGTTGCTTCGAGTTACTAAACCCAACATACTTCAACAGATATGTTAGCCATCATAAAAAATGCATCTGTCTTGTTTTCTTAAGCATCTTGAGTCCATTGTCTCTGTGCGCAATTCATGTTTTGTTATTAAAGCACTGTTTGTTGGTTCTTTACATGAAGTATTTACTAAGGATTGGAGAAGGTGATATTCTCCTTCTGATTTGCATCTAAAGACACATATCAACTGGATTCTGAGCAAGGTTCTTAGTTTAATGAACTTTCTGGAAGACAGCTGTGTAATTATCTCCTCTCATTTGAGAAGCTGTGAAAATGTGTGTATGTAGATAGGAAACAATTGGTGTGATATTATACTTAGTTCAGCTTCACTTTCTAGGCTCCCTACAAAGAAGAGCAAAACTATGGGATTGGCGGCCATCTCCAAGTCACTATTTGGCCAATAATGTTGCCCCTTCATCGCTAGTCAAAATCCTGGAATCTCTGACTCTCAATTGCGGGAGTTTCTCCTGCAAAAACGGGGCAACAACTAAAGTACAAAGCTCATCGACTGGGGGTAACTAGGGATCAGTAATGAATACAGCTTTGCCAGGTGTTGTCCACATCCTAAAAATAAACATTTCAACCTTTTGCCATAGGTTGTTAGGATGTAGGTAACTGTTGCATTTTTATACCGTTTTGATCTTGGTTGTACTGTTGCTAGAAAAGGACTAGTTAAGCAAAGCAGAGTTGCTTTCTTGCATTTTAGAGTTGTGTAGGTGTGACCTGCACAGCTTGCTTTGCTTTGACAGTGATATGGGCTGAGGGAAGCGGTACGAGCTTCAGGAGTTGGGGGGTATAGGGCTAATGGACAAAGCACCGGTTGAGTCAGATGCCTAAGAAGAATAAAGCACCTATTAAGTATTTGTATACCTTTCCAAAACATTAGGCTTATTTTCCAAAAGATTTTGAACATAATCCCAAGTTAGTTCCACAAACAGAAATCTTCATCTTTAACAAGTATAAGTTTGAACATCAGAAGCTCTGTTGCAGAATTGAAATCAGTAGCTGCCATTTCTAGCATCCATATTCTTTTCCTTCCAGTGAGTAGCAACTAACCATTTAGAGATGTTAATAGCTAAGTTATCATTGCTGAATTTAACGTGATATTGACTTGCTTTTCCTTCTACTATGTGGTGGGCATTTCACTTCAGAAATCCGAAAAAGATAATTAAATTGAGACTGTTGGTTGTGAAGCCGACCTAATGTCCTGTGACACTAATGCTAGAGCATGTTCGTGCAGTTTGCAGAAGTGTAGTACTGAATCAATGAAAATTGTATTAATATTGCATCTTTAACAGCATATGATATACCAAAGCATTGATCAAGAAGGTTACCAAAACCAGCTCGGCACAACATTAGAGATAGTAAGAACTGTCGATGCTGGAGTCGGAGATAACACAGTGTGGAGCTGGAGGAACACAGCAGGCCAAGCAGCATCAGAGGAGCAGGAAAGTTGACATTTCGGGTTGGGACCCTTCTTCCCCCGTTTCTGAAGATAATCGCCCGAGGCTGGAATCAAACCTCGGTCCCTGGCGCTGTGAGGCAGCAGTGCTAACCACTGAGCCACTGTGCCACCCATTTTTCCAATGTGCTGCCTGTTCTTCAGTACTTTTCTCATTCTGGTCCCATTTGGCTTAAAATCTTCTGGTAAGAATTCACACCATTCTAAGCGTGATAGTAAGGTGTTTTTCAAAAAGCATTTTTCTTAAAGCTTCTCTGCAGCAGTTGCCTTTTTGTGTGTATTTAGAAACTCATCTCTGTTTCTAGTTGTTACGGAGCTCTTGGGCAACATATCTGCTGAGAACTGTGATGACCATTTCCTTCTTGGTTAGTGTGACTCTTTTCAAATCTCAAAGATTTCAACTTGCTCATGGTGTTTCTCCATGCTCTTAAAAATCTGTGATTGTGAAATGCTTTTATCATGGTTATACGTTGCTGAAGGCTTTTTGTTTATCCCCTCTCCAGTGTTCAGCAGAGGAGGAGGCGGATGCACTTCTGGGCATGCCTCATTACATTACAGTGTGATATAGGATGCCTCTGTAGACCCAGTATCTCAGATTTCTATTTGATATCTTGGAGTAGGATGGGCTGTGAACTGCATTCAAGAAGCTGATGTTGTCTCTAAGCTTGCTTCAAAAGGATTACAGATTGTGTTCTCTTCTCACTTTCTATGTTAAACTTCAGATCAAGTGAAGAGTTGGGATTTGTTAGGGGAGTTGTGTGTCCGGTAATTCTCTTCCACCTGCGTAACCATATGTAGTGGTGATTATTTTTATCTGTCTTACAGGCCACCAAGCAGTTTCTAGAAGAGATCAACAAGTGGACAACACAGCATAGTGTCTCTCCCCTGTCCTGGAATGCAGCAGTCAAATTTCTAATGGCCAGAAAATTTGATGTATACCGTGCCATTGAGCTATTCCACTCTTACCGGGTAGGTGGACTATTATTGTTAATGATTATGTAGGTTGTGTAGGTTGTCAGCTCTTTGAACTCCAGGTGACGTAACCTGTGGAACCATTTAAGAAGAATTACATCCCACGGATGTGTATCTGTCAGTATGTATATTTGAGAGAGAAATGGGTTTGTTTTGCACACATTGAGCAGTCTACATGTGGAGGAAGGAGTGGCTTATGATAATCGGGTAACATTACTTTGCATTAATTTTGAGTGTGTGCAGTTTTGTTTGTGCTGAACATGGATGCAGAAACAAAGCACATCATATATTTCACTGAAGGATATATGGGTATGCAAATATGAAGTAGTTACATTATATTCACCTAGTTGATTACTTTTGCAAATAAATGTCAGAAGTCACGCGGCACCAGGTTATAGTCCAACAGGTTTATTTGGAATCACACGAGCTTTCGGAGCGCAGCCCCTTTCAGGTGCAGTGAAGGAGCAGAACACACAGACCCAGAGTTTATAGGCAGAGAGATCAAGGCCAGAGAGATCAAAAGATCATACTACTGGTGTGAGTGGAGTGTCAGATGATAAGTCTCTGCGGGTGACCAAAAGTGTTAGATGGCGTTAGTAAAGTGTTTATAAAGTCAATGTCAGTGCTGTGCTGTCATGACAATGAATCAGAGCCACAGGAATATACAAGAGGTCACATCTCCGATCAGACGCTGATTTGTAGGTGTGAGGCTTTGTTCAGAATCTGTCTCAGAGTTTTAACCAGGAACCAGGCTGATTTTACTCTGAAAACTGGATTTATAAGATGCCACGTTGACTGACTGTGACTACAAATTGTGAGTTTTTTGAACAAAATAGAAAGTATCTGCAAATAAACAAACATCTTGGATGAAATGATTCACCCTATAGATGTGTGTGCGTGTGTGAGAGAGAGAGAGAGAGCGTGAATGTGTGAAAGAGAGTAATAAGTAATTCAAAACTGTATGAACTAATTAAGGTAGAGAGATCATAACAATTTATCAAGGTGATGCTGTCAAAACAGGAACATAGAACAGTACAGCACAGTACAGGCCCTTCGGACTATGATGTTGTGCTGAACTTTTACCCTAAACCTAAGGTCTATCTAGCCTCCACCCCTACCTTATACTATCATCCATATGCCTATCTAATAGCCGCTTAAATGCCCCTAATGAAGCCTACTCCACTACCCTCTCCGGCAATGCATTCCACACCCCTACCACTCTCTGAGTAAAGAACCTACTTCTGATGTCTCCTCTATATCTACTTCCACTCACTTTAAAACTATGCCCCCTCATAATAGCTACGTCCACCCTTGGAAAAAGTCTCTGGCTGTCCACTGTATCTATACCTCTGATCATTTTGTACACCTCTATCAAGTCTAAAAAGTAAGGAAGATTTTACAAATACAGAACAGTGTGGTGGGGTCACCTATAACGTGACATGAACCCAAGATCACGGTTGAGGCTGTCTTCATGGGTACGAAACTTGGCTATCAGTCTCTGCACATGACTCTGCATTATGTGGTTCAGAGTCTGTGTTAGAGGACGCTTACCCAAAGATCGGAGGCTGAATGCCCATTGAGCACTGAAGTGTTCCCCGACTGGGAGGGAACATCCCTGCCTGGCGAATGTTGGGCGGTGTCCATTCATTCGTTGTCATAGCATCTTCATGGTCTCACCAATATATCATGCCTCAGGTCATCCTTGTCTGCAACATACGAGATGGACAACACTGGCTGAGTCACATGAGTATCTCCTGTGAATGTGGTAGGTGATGCTCCCACATATGATGGTAGTACCCAAGTCGATGATCTCACATGTCATGCAGAGGTTGCCATGGTAGGGTTGTGTGGTGTTGTGGTCAATTTTGTCCTGAAGGTTGGGTAGTTTGCTGCAATCGATGGTCTGTTTAATGTTTGGCAGTTGTTTGAAGGCAAGAAGTGGAGGCGTAGGGATGATCTTGGCGACATGCTCGTTGTCATCGATGACATGTTGAAGGCTGCAAAGAACATGACATAGTTTTTCCACTCCAGTGAAATACTGGACAACGAAGGGTACTTATCCTGTGTCTGTCTTCTGAAAAGGTCATTGTGGTTTTTCTGCTGTGGCACATTGGAACTGGCGATTGATGAGTTGAGCATCATATCCCGTTCTTATGAAGACATCTTTCAAAACCCTTAGGTGTCCTTTTCATTCCTCTTCATCTGAGCAGATCCTGTGTATGTGCATGATTGCTTCTTTAACATGTATAGGGTGGAAGCTAGAGAAGTGCAGCATCGTGAGGTTATCCATGGGCTTGGTTAGAGTGAGATACTGAGATGTCTGTCCTTGATGTAGATGCGCGTGTCCAAGAATGAGACTGATTCCGAAGTGTAGTCCATGGCAAGTTTAATGGTGGGATGAAACTTGTTGATATTGCTGTGTAGTTGTTTCAGTGATTCCTCACCATGAGGCATGGTATATTGGCAAGACCATGCAGATGCTACGACAACGGATGAATGGACACTGCGCAACATTTGCTAGACAGGCATGTTCCCTCCCAGTCAGGGAACAAATCTTCCGTATTTTCTTGTTTTGACAGTGTCACCTTGATAAATTGTTATGATCTCTCTACCTTAACTAGTTTGTACAGTTTTGAATTTCTTAATACACTCACACACACATGCACTCCAGCACATGTGCGCATGCACACTCGCTCGCACGCATTCACGCACTCACTCACATGTATATCAATGGGGTGAATCATTTCATCCAAGATGTTCGTTTATGTGCGGATACATTCTATTGTGTTCAAAAAACACACAATTTGTAGTCACAATGACAGACAGTTCTCCTCCAGACCAACTACTAGGAGGCACAGTAGCTCATCGTCCAACTCTATTGCATTTTTCCCAATTATTCCTCAAACATTGGAAACTTGATAGAGAGGGAAATGGAAACCATAGCTGCTGCAGTTATTAGGCTTCTGGTTCATCCTAGTAGCATATTCAAAGCAGTACTTTTTTACAGAAGCCATTTAAGTGTTAAAAGTATCATTACTTCCACGACTTCGGACCTTGTTTTGTGGTGGTGTTGCTTGCTTGCTGTGACACAGTTCCATAGGTCTGTTAGCTTGCTTGTGTGAGCCTTGACCCTTTGATATCAATCATTGGTTGTCTTGTTGTAAGGGCTATTGTGGTAAAGAGGTATTGCATCTACCTCTCGACCAGAAGTCCCATGTGCCCCAAAGGTATACGGTTATACCCCTGAATAAGTAGATTCAGAAAATACCTTGATTGCCATGCAGAGTGCTTCCAACACAGTTTTCAGGATGCCTAACAGGAACTAAAGTTACTCACTGTCAGTCTTGGGACAGTGGCAATAATTTTAGTATGCAAAGTAGCTGATTCAGTTAATTCAGCATAGATTTGAAACCTTCCTGTTTGCCCATGTTCCACATACTGATCCGATATAGTCAACCAGTCTTTGAGGAACTCCCTTAAACCCAAAATAATTATGTTTCAAAAAAAGACATTGTAGAGTACACTGAAATGTACTGTTTGCAAGGGCACCAGGAATCAGGGGAGGAGAGTGCTTATGATCTGTTATCTGCATTAGATTTGGTTTGAGAGATACTCACATACTGGAGGAGAAACCAAAACTACTACAGATTCTGTAAAGGGGTTGTAATTTGGATCCCTAGCTGTGATATACAATATCTAGAAATCAAATCATTACCTCTGGCTGCATAGGCACTAAAAACTGATTTTAAAAAATCACAAAACTCTCAGGAAGTCAAAAATAGTAGGATATGTTGGGTATACAGGCAACAGAAAAGGCTGGTACCTGAAAACTTTTGTGATCCGTACTAAGGAGGTTCTGTGAATTGTGATGACTGTATCAATGGAACTCGGGTGGAATAAAGCTGCTGTCAGAAGCACCTCAATGACTAGTTCTTGTGAATTCAAGAAGTTGACCTCTACCTGAGGAATAGAGTTTTGTAAAAACTCTCTAGGGTCATGGAGTGCCAATTGTGTTAAGGGGTCTCCCATAAATCTGTGGGATCTGTTATTGTTGGCTTTGTAAAATGTAATTTATGGTTTCTACTGAAGACAGCTGCCTGTAAGTTCATGTTTTATTTACGTTGGTTTTGGTTTGAACGTTAAAGTAAAAGATGTAACAAGTGAAATGCTGTTAGTTGGTTTCCCCTGCTTGCATAGTTTGGTAAGTTTTTGGTTTTTTCTGTTATTGGTCTCTATGGTGATCTTGACAATAGTCAGACTCTTTTTCATTGTCAAAACTGTGAAACCTTTCTTATGCCACATTCATTCCTTTATCCTCCTCCGACAGGCATCCGTCTTTTAAAGAACAAAGTTAGTGATACTTAATGAGTGTTTTCTCAGTTAGCTTGTCTGCTGTTAATTTATTTAAACAAAAGTCTCCCCTTTTAACTTGGTTATTCTTCTTTAACATGCGTTGAGGGAGTTGCCAGATGTGAACATGTTCAACATTTGAGGTTTAAAATAAATGAATAATTCTGTTTGAGATTGCAGCCTTTCAGTTGTTGATACTTTTCTCATTTTTGTGTCTTTTCCATTTTAATTATTTCTATCACAGCTTGTGTAGAGGAAGGCAATGGAAAGCAATGGAAAGCCATAAGGTGATGGAAAGGGCACCAACCATACAAAGTTTGTTTATTACTCAACATATTCAAGAAAAGGATGTTGAGAAGAAACTGCTATTCACTAAATGTTGAGTTTTACTCACGTAGTTGGAAAGGCTGCTGTATTTATTTGTGTGCATGTTTGTTTGCGTGTGTTCCCTGTTTTCAGCTCCTTTTGGGATTCAGGCAATGGATGATGACAAACTGCCTAAAGTCCAGTTGGAGAGTATCCAAAAATTCAAATCCCACACAGTAATACATAAGCCATGTGCAAAGGACAAATTCTTTCCCACAGCTGTTGATTCTACTTCTACCCTGCTTTTGCCTTGAATAAAAACATAGTGGTGGATAGACTGGCCCATGTTGCTGCATTCTGTGTTAGCAATTAAAGGCAGTCAAAGTCATTGCTGCCAACTCAGAGTTGGGAACACAGCAAGTAAAAACAAACCAACCCTTGTCTTGTATTCTGATTAGAATTGCATTTAATGTACTGTGTATGCTCTCCATTTCGTCTATGGAAGCCTACCAGCATTTCACTTGGCCTGTATGCTGACACAGTCGTGTAATTGTACAGCCTGAAGGTAAATTTGACTCATTCTTTGTCCAATGCCAAATACAGCTTGAGGACTGTACTGTTTTGTTTAGCATATAGCTCCCCAATAGACTTTGCAAAGACATGTCGCTTCATCAGAGCTGCAGTTATTTCACTTAGACAACAAAGTACCTCATTGCCAACTATGAATTGCATGTTAAAATATTAAAACAGAAAATGTTGGATATAGTCAGTGAATCAAGCAGCATCAGTGAAGAAAGAAGCAGCATTGACGTTAAGGTAGATTATATAAACAAAATATTTGACCACGTCAATTTTTCTTTCTTGACATTTATGGGATGAGGGCGTCGCTGGCTAGGCAGCATCCATCCCTAATTGCCCAGAGGGGAGTTAAGAGTCAACCACATTTGCTGTGGGTCTGGAGTCACACGTAGGCAGTTTCCTTCCCGAAAGGACATTAGTAACGTCGGTTTTTCCTGACAATCAACAATGGATTCATGGTCATCATTAGATTCTTAATTCCAGACATTTTATTGAATTCAAATTCTACCATCTGCCGTGGCGGGATTCGAACCTGGTTCCCCAGAACTTTGTCTGGGTCTCTGGATTAACAGTCCAGCCACAACACCACTACATCATCACCTCTCCGACGGTTGATTGATTGTTATCTGATTGTTCAGGAGCTCGCCTATCTTTTTAGATGCTTGGTGCCTGCCCGAGAAGCAGGTACGGTTTCCTAAATTGAATTTACCTGGAAAGGGCTTCACACCCACTACACAACTACAGCTTATATTCTCGACATAGTGCTGAGGCTGCAACAGATTCTGGCGTTGAAGTGCTGGCTAAGAAATTGTATTTTTTTGGAAATTCCATTTTATGAAGGAGAAGTATAGTATTGAATGCTGTTGTTTCATTATTTAAGTAGAACAAAGTAACTGATCCTGAAAATAGTGCGGTAATAACTGACTATGGTGCAATATAACTAATCTAACTGAAATATTTGAAAAGAGAAAACTAGACCAGATCTGTAGAGAGAAAAGATGTGCTGTCTTTTTGTGTGTAACTTTCACCACAGCTGAAATTGATCAAACTTGTTTTCCTTTTTTATACATCAGCATTTGCTGCCACCCCTACCTCATTTTTAAAATCTAAATCTGCCATTTATAAAACATATGGAAAGCTGTTAACCCAAAAACTGTCAGGAACAATTCTCTCGCCCTCACCTCCTGTTCCAGTCCCTGAGTGAAGTGTGAAGACGAGGGGAGTGCTGAGGAAGAGGCAGCAGCAACAATTACACAACACTGACATGAATGTTGTCCAGCTGCACAATGATGACATTAGCAACACCTACTTCCTGTTCCAGTGCATTGGCAGAAGATGGTGTTTTTCCTCAACTGCAGGAGGTGAACTCACAGCTTGCACAGGTGCCATGCCTGTGATACTGCAGGTAGCTTCCTGTCTCTGAAAACATCAGCTTATCTGCTGCATTTCAGGTTTCTAGCTCTTTTAGTTTTCTCTGTTAAGGTGTGACTTGAATTCTGCCAGATTATTATCAATTCAGGAATTTGATGGCTAAGAAAGAAATTGCATCCACCTGTCCATTATAGATGCATTAGATTGGTTTTTTTAATGGAGAACGAGTTGTGCATACATCTTAAAAGAGGGAGATAACACAGTGTGGAGCTGGAGGAACACAGCAGGCCAGGCAGCATCAGAGGAGCAGGAAAGCTGACATTTCAGGTCAGGACCTTTCTTCAGAAATGGGGGAATAAATAGAGAGGAGGGGGTGATAATGGCAGGTAGATAGTGGAGCGAATAGGGTGGGAGAGAAGACGCTCAGGTCAAGGAAGTGGAGATGAAGCTAGTAAAGGTGTCTGTAGGTATGTAGGGGTGAGAATTGGTCAGTGAGGTGGGAGGAGCGGATAGGTGGGAGAGAAGACAGACAGATCAGTGAGGCAGGGATGGTGGGGAGGTGCTGGTCTTGGGATGAGCTCAGGGGTGGGGGGATTTTTAAGCTAGTAAAGTCCACATTGAGAACATTGGGTTGTAGGGTTCCAGGGCGGAATATGAGATGCTGTTCCTCCAGTTTCCGGGTGGCATCGTTGTGACACTGGAGGAGGCCCAGGATGGACATGTCGTCCAGGGAGTGGGAGGGGGAGTTGAAGTGGTTCGCGACTGGGAGATGTTGTCGTTTGTCGCGAACCCAGCGTAGGCGCTCTACAAAGCGATCTCCGAGGCTCCACTTGGTCTCCCCGATGTAGAGGAGGCCACATTGGTAACAGCGGATACAGTATACCACATTTACAGATGTGAACATCTGTTTGATATAGAAGGTTTTTTTGTAGCCTGGGATGGAGGTGAGGGGGGAGGTGTAGGGGCAGGTGTAGCTCTTCCTGCGGTTGCAGGGAAAGGTGCTGAGGGTGGTGGGGCTGGTGGGGCTAGTGGGGAGTGGGGAGTGTGGAGTGGACGAGCGAGTCGCGGAGAGAGCGGTCCCTCCGGAAAGTAGACAAGGATGGGGAGGGAAATATATCCTTCGTAGTGGGAAATATATCCTTCAGATTGCAGGTGCCCTTCATAGTCACAAACCACTTCAGCTTCCCCCTCCACTCCCTGGACGACATGTCCATCCTGGGCTTCCTCCACCCTATCCGCCCCACTATCTACCTGCTATCACCGCCCCCTTTCTATTTATTTCAGAGCCCCCTTCCCCTCCGCCATTTCTGAAGAAGGGTCCCGACCCGAAATGTCAGCTTTCCTGCTCCCCTGATGCTGCCTGGCCTGCTGTGTTCCTCCAGCTCCACACTGTGTTATCTCAGACTCCAGCATCGGCAGTTCATACTATCTTTAAAAGAGGGAGTCATGTGCTTGCCATCACACTGTCTCTAACCTAGCACGTAGGGTATTGTTGAGAAGAAGAAGAAAATGATAAACTGAAGGTGGCTTATTTGATGAAAGGCATAACAGTCATTGATGTGTAGCTTTCACTCTAATTTTTCTAGACTATCTCCATGAATTGGATGTCTAAATATGAACATGTGATCTACTGTTGCCAAGTAATTCAGACTCTTCTATCAAGAAGCCCCACAAAGTAAATTGATATGGTCTTTGCAAAGCCAGAGCTGAAAGTTGCCAATACAGAATACACTTCATTTAAAGGATTGCATGAAAGTATCTCATTTGAAAATATGTTTGTGGTCACCGTACTTTAAAGATTGGTTTGCTGGGTAATGGTTTGGAGAATATCATGTTGAGAGAGAACATTTTCTTTAAAACTTGCAGTTTTATGGAGTAAATGAAATATCTTTTGTTTCTTTTCAGGATACAAGGTTGAAAGAGGGAATTGTAAAGTTGAAACCACATGAAGAGCCTCTTAGGTCTGAACTGCTGAGTGGCAAATTCACCATCTTGGTAAATTTGTTTTGTCTCTTCCTATATGATTACGTGATAATTGACGTATTAATGGGTGTATGTGGCTGCACGATCTCAATTTGAGATGGCCTTTTTCTTTATTGTGTTTTGATGGTAGCTTGACAGGAATGTAGTTGAACTCCTGGACAGTCTTCCCATGGACTTCGCACCTGGTGGTGGTTGGGAGTGCCATAAACAGGAAATATTATCCTTTGCTGTACAATTTAGCATCTATAATTCACCAAGTAATGAATTAAGCATTTATACACGGAATCATAGGTCCAGGAAACTGGTATAGATAGCCCTCTAGAGGGGGTTTTCAGCAGAAGGCTAGGGGAAACCTACTGACAATGTTGCAGGGTAATACAGTAGGGCCCAATTATCAGTGTGTAGATATTGTTCTGTCTGTGTTCACATATTCAGAGGAGCTGTATAGAGTAATAGAAGATGTAGCTTAAGACACCATTCAGTCGAGCATATTATAGTGTCGTACTGCACAGAAACAGACCCTTCAGTCCAATTCATCTGCGCCGACCAGACATTCCAATCTGACTAGCCCTATTTGCCAGCATTTGACCCATATCCCTCTAAACCCTTCCTATTCATGTACCCATCCAGATGCCTTTTAAATGTTGTAATTGTACCAGCGTCCACCACTTCCTCTGTCAGCTCGTTCCATACACGCATCACCCTCTGCGTTCAGAAGTTACCCCTCTGGTCCTTTTTAAATCTTTCCCCTCTCACCTTAGACCTATGCCGTCTAATTTTGGACTCCCCTACCGTGGGAAAAAGACCTTGGCTATTCGATGCCCCTCATGAGTTTATAAACCTCTATAAGGACACCCCTGAGCTTCTCCTGCAGGGAAAAAGGTATTACTTCTTTAAGAAAATTTATTTCAGTCACACAGTTAAAGATTTCCCTAATACTACTACTTCTAGAAGGGAAGGTATGAGTGTTGTTCTGCAGAGAACAAGTTGGTGAAGGATTGTACTAGGGTTACTCTTTGCTGAGTCGTGCAGTTATTTAGAGTCAAACTTTACAAATATGTAGCTCCTAACTACACTACACTTGTTTGAGTAAGTATCACTTCATAATCTTCAGAAAAATCAGTTAAATTGAACCAAATTAAATCAAATTAAAGAACAACAACCCTTAAAAAGATAATTTAACAAAAATCAGATGTCTGATTCTTTTTGTCTGCCTATTTAGATGTGTTAAGATGCACTTTCATGCCAGTTGGGAGTTAAACCTGGGCCTTCTAGCTCAGAGATGGTGACTCAAAGGGTCTAGGCCCGAAACGTCAGCTTTCCTGCTCCTATGATGCTGCTTGGCCTGCTGTGTTCATCCAGCTCTGCACCTTGTTGTCTCAGATTCTGCAGCATCTGCAGTTCCTACTATCTCGGATCCCTTAATGTTGCTTTTAATGTTTTTTATTTACTCTATTCAGACATTTTTATATCACACCTCTATGTTAGTTGGAACTCAAGTCTTCTAGCCCAGAGATATGGAAAGTACCACTGAGTCACATGGCAACTTTTGGATAAATGTGTTCAAAAAGTTTCTAATCAACTCGTTCAGAGATGTTAGTACAGACCTCTCGAGCAGAAAGGACTTGAACCTGGGCCTCCAGGCTCAGAGATAAGGACACAGCACCACAGCACAGCACAGCTCCACACAAGAGCCTTTAAAACAGTGTTCAAATGAAAACCCAGTTGAATCCCATCACCTGCACACAATTAATTTAAGCTTAACAACAGATTGTCCCGCACTATGACTTCAGTATTGTTTATGCTGACAATGATATTGTGAGCATTGATGGAAGAGTACAAGTTAAAAATTAAAAATCTTAAATGCTAACAGAGAGAACATCCCAGCAAATTTAATGTTCGCTGATAATTGCAATATTCAGCACCATTTTTGGCTCCTCAGTACATGTGCATATGCAGTAAGACCAGAACAGCATTGGTATGGATTGATACATGGAAAGTAATATTCATGTCACCCAAATTTCAGGCAGTGACCATTTCTAACAAGAGAGAACCTAACCATTTTACTTTGACATTCAATGATGTTACCATCACTAAATCCCCTACTGTCAGCATCTGGAGGTTACCATTAACCAGAACCTTAACTGGACAAGGTGTATAAGCACTGTGTCTACAAGAGCAAGTCATAGTAGACTTGATTTTGAACAGTTTGAAGGTTGAATGTGGATTGAAATTTTTAGCTTAAATTGCTCTTTTTTTAAAACAAAACGTAGAGATAGTAGCTACACTGAGCTGCTTCAAAATTAAATGAATGGAATATTTGAAACTCTTCAAAACTGACCCTTAAAACCCTATGGGCTAAACTCGATTTCAGCAAGAGGTCAAAAAGTTGTGTTAAAATATTATTTAATTTTTTTTTGTCTTCTCTAAAAAACACGGAACAAGTACACAGAACGAAATTGAAATCAAGTAAAATGTGTGTTGTACACTCCATCTTGCTAAACTGGACTTGGCAATAAAAGGTATTGGAAATAAGATTTTGCAGTGCCTGAATCTGAGAGAATAATGCTGGTCTGTTGTATAGTATTCAGCTGTATTCCTATTGAACAATGAGTTAGGTGAATGACAAACATCTGAGACTTGAAGGCAATTTCAGCATCAGGACCCCTTTGTAAAATAATTAATAGCAGTTTTGATTGTCAATTTTCTTTGTAAATTTGAAGTGCTGATTTAAGTAGTTGGAAGGTGCTTTGGACTGATCCACCTCTGAAGGAAATTAATTTATTTTCCTTAAGTGAAACTGAAACGTCCAGAATCACTGTACCAATCAATATACTAGTTCCATAGCAGTAAAATACCTTTTTTATTTCAGAAAGAGTAAACCTGAAAAGACATCACTTCAGGAAAAATTTTAAACAGAACCTTTGAAGCAAAACATGTCTTATTGATGAGAAGGCCTGTGTTTGATTCACTAAAGCTCAACACACTTTGTAAACCTCCCTTAAAATGTAGCTCTTTAAGTGCTGTTTTAACTCCCAACTTTGACTTGTGGTCCAACACTTGTGAAATGTTTTCGGATGTTTCTTTACACAATGGATGAAGTTGTTTTTCCTCCTTTTCTTGGTGCATAAGTTTTTCCCCTCTCTCTCTCATGTACTGTCTATACCTGAGATAGTAGGAACTGCAGATGCTGGAGAATCTGAGATAACAAGATGTACGGCTGGATGAACACAGCAGGCCAAGCAGCATCATAGGAGCAGGAAAGCTGACGTTTCGGGCCTAGACCCAACTTCAGAAATGGGGGAGGGGAAGGGGGTTCTGAAATAAATAGGGAGAGAGGGGGAGGCGGATAGAAGATGGATAAAGGAGAAGATGAGAAGATAGGTGGAGAGGAGACAGACAGGTCAAAGAGGCGGGGATGGAGCCAGTAAAGGTGAGTGTGGGTGGGGAGTTAGGGAAGGGATAGGTCAGTCCAGGGAGGACGGACAGGTCAAGGGGGCGGGATGAGGCTAGTAGGTAGGAGATGGGGGTGGGGCTTGAGGTGGGAGGAGGGGATAGGTGGGAGGAAGAACAGGTTAGGGAGGCGGGGACAAGCTGGGCTGGTTTTGGGATGCGGTTGGGGGAGGGAAGATTTTGAAGCATGTGAAGTCCACATTGATACCATTGGGTTGCAGGGTTCCCAAGCGAAATATGAGGTGCTGTTCCTGCAACCTTCGGGTGGCATCATTGTGGCATTGCAGGAGGCCCAGGATGGACATGTCGTCTGAGGAATGGGAGGGGGAGTTGAAATGGTTCGCGACTGGGAGGTGCAGTTGTTTATTGCGAACCGAGCGTAGGTGTTCTGCAAAGCGGTCCCCGAGCCTCCGCTTGGTTTCCCCGATGTAGAGGAAGCCACACCGGGTACAGCGGATGCAGTATACCACATTGGCAGATGTGCAGGTGAACATCTGCTTGATGTGGAAAGTCTTCTTGGGGCCTGGAATGGGAGTGAGGGGGGAAGTGTAGGGGCAGGTGTAGCACTTCCTGCGGTTACAGGGAAAAGGGCTGGGTGTGGTGGGGCTGGAGGGAAGTGTGGAGCGGACAAGGGAGTCATGGAGAGAGTGGTCCCTCCGAAAAGCAGATAAGGGTGAGGAGGGAAAAATGTCTTTGGTGGTGGGGTCAGATTGCAGATGGCGGAAGTGTTGGAGAATGATGCGTTGGATCCGGAGGTTGCTGGGGTGGTATGTGAGGACGAGGGGGATTCTGTTTTGGTTGTTATTGCGGGGAGGGGGTGTGAGGGATGAGTTGTGGGAAATGCGGGAGACACGGTTGAGGGCATTCTCGACCACTGAGGGGGGGAAGTTGCAGTCCTTGAAAAACAAGGACATCTGAGATGTTCGGGAGTGGAATGCCTCATCCTGGGAGCAGATGCGGCGGAGGCGAAGGAATTTGGAATAGGGGATGGCATTTTTGCAGGAAGGTGGGTGGGAGGAGGTGTATTCTAGGTAGCTGTGGGAGTCGGTGGGCTTGAAATGGATATTGGTTTCCAGGTGGTTGCCAGAGATGGAGACAGAGAGGTCCAGGAAGGAGAGAGAGGTATCAGAGATGTTCCAGGTGAACTTAAGGTTGGGGTGGAAGGTGTTGGTGAAGTGGATGAACTGTTCGAGCTCCTCGTGGGAGCACAAGGCAGTGCCGATACAGTCATCAATGTAACGGAGGAAGAGGTGGGGGATAGGGCCAGTGTGGCTACGGAAGAGAGATTGTTCCACGTAACCTACAAAGAGGCAGGCATAGCTTGGGCCCATGCGGGTACGCATGGCCACCCCCTTTGTCTGTAGGAAGTGGGAGGAATTGAAAGAGAAGTTGTTGAGGGCGAGAACGAGTTCGGCTAAGCAGATGAGGGTGTCAGTGGAGGGGGACTAGTCGGGCCTGCGGGACAGGAAGAAGCGGAGGGCCTTTAGGCCATCTGCATGGGGAATGCAAGTGTATAGGGACTGGATGTCTATGGTAAAGATGAGGTGTTGGGGACCAGG